ACTTTGTGAAGGAGTGAAGTGGTAAAACTTTTGACTTATAAGCAAACCACTTAAATATTGGGTAAATTGCAAATAGGCCCTTTGTGGTATTACTGTTTTGCAGTTACTATCCCCTCTAGTTTTGTTTTAGCAGAGAGACCCTAGAGAATTTTTGTAGTCTTTTATTTTTGGAGGTTCTATTTGTAAAAAATCAATTAATCCTTGCAAGTTACAACTTTTACTTAGATTACCCCTTGGTCCTACCAATCACCATGCTCATCAGATTTGACATAATGATCCATTTACTGGTCACCGAACTCCACCCTGATTCAGAACCCTACTCATCGTCGTCCATGGACACATGCCGGTCTCTATAAAAACCCCTTTCCCTCTGGGGACACTGATAGTAATCAAGCTAAGAATTCTATTTTGATATGAGCCCAATGAGTATCTCCTACTCTTTTGAGGATAGTTTCTAATTTTAAATCTCGGCCGTTTCAGATTTCACTACTCTGTAGTGCTTCCCTAACCTTTCTAATGCGACTGTTTTGAAGTATTTCTCTTTATTTACATGAAGCACCAATAACATTTGACAAGATAGCGAATAAGTTAAAGAGAAATGCAATTTCAACTTATTTATTGCAACACCAATGAATGCTAACTGAAGTTGATGAGCAAACAATGAATGTAGTAAACAAATTGATTTTATTTCAAAATCAGACTATTAGGTTCATGAAACTCTCCATGTCTATTTTCTTGCCACATCATACCCTTGTCTCCTTATTTTTGACTTAGCTTGAATCTTACAGATAGTAGTCTCAAGTTCTTTTAAACGATAAAGCAACAAAATGATAAAGCAACAGTATTAAAAACATGAACAAGACCAAGAAAATATTCAAATACGCTTTCTTTCTTGCTCACATAATGTGAAACAATGGTCATCTGTTCTTTGACGGATGTGTCGTGATTCATAACTCAAAATGAATGTTCATCTCTATTGTCATCAATCATAGCACAAGTGGCCTAAGTAGCAGCTGCAATTACAATATCATTTTTGGATATTAAATGTTATTAGTCTAAGATCCTATGAGCAGTTTTGAAAATGTTGTCGATAGATTAATTATGATTAGCAAGAAATTGAAATAACTCGAGAAAATTTCGTTGATTACGTGATATATTAAATATATCACGGCCTCAAAACGGTAATATTTGATGCATAATAAATAATACAATATATTGTTGCAGTCAAGTGAATTTGATACTCCGGTGAGTTGCCAGACTCGCGAACCTTCCTCCCCCAACTTTGGCTCCTCGCGAGAGAAAAAAATCTCATGGAAAGTTTCCATCCGCTTTTGCATCCTTCCTCTTGCAAGAAAATGTTAGTTTTTTTTTCACTTTACTGCAACAATAGATTGTGATGAATATGATATATCAAGTAATAGGGAGTATAGAATTCACTTTACTGCAACAATAGATTGTATTTGATTTCTTTTACATCAAGGGTTAGCTTTTGAGATTGTGATGAATATGATATATCAAGTAATTAGCAAAACTTTCTTGAGTTTGAGTTATCACGATTTTTTGCCAATCATAATAAATCAATGACATGTTTAAAAGGTTATCATGGGAATCATAATCTAATTAACACCTAATATCCAAAATGATATTGTAACCACAACTGCTAATGAGACTACTTGTGCTAATTAATAATCTTGGAGATGAACTTTTGGCCATTTTGATTGATGAATTCGCGACATAGCCGTCAAAGAACAAATGGCCATTGTTTTACATTATGTGAGCGAGAAAGATGTGCGGTTGAAACATTTTCTTAAGTCTTGTTCATGTCTCTAATACCGCTGTTTTATCACTTAAGGCAACTTTAGAGACAATGTTTGCGAAATGTGAGCGGACTTTTCAAGAAAATGGGTCAATGGTGTATCAGGGAAAATAATATGCAAGAACAATTTCATGGACTTAATTGACTCGTTTTGAAAGATAATGAATGTGTTTACTATGTTATTATTTTGCTCATCGAATTTGATCAACACTCGGTGTTGCGAAAAAAACAAGTTGAAATTGCATTACTCTTTTAACTTGCTGGCTACTTTGTCAAATGTTTTGGGTGCTTCATGTAAATCAAAAACTACCTTCAAAAGGACAGGAAATACTTTTCACAGCCCACCTTCTTGGTTACTATGTTATCTTCTGTGATTGATGTCCTTAAAATTTTCGAGGAAAATGCCTCTAACCTGTTGCCTACTTTGTCAAATGTTGTTGGTGTTTCATGTAAACGAAGAGAAATTCTTTAAGATAGTTGTGTCAGCAAGATGAAGGAAGTATTACAAAGCGATGAAATATGCCGTGGCTGCGAGTTAAATAAAAATCTACCCCCAAAAAGGTAGGCAATTGTTATTGCAGCGAACATTCTTGGTTACTATGTTTTCTTTTGTGATGGAGCTTGAACTTGCCCAGGAAGATGGTACAAACTCAGAGCAAGGAGCTAAAACATGCATGTTATAAGCTTTATCAAATCTCTTGAATTTGACTTTATCTGGCATTTAATTTAATGAAAATATGTTAGCTACTAATGACTTGTCTCAAGCACTAAAACAAAGTGATTAAGACACTGCAAATGCGATGACATTACTTGGAGTATTGAAGCCACGAATGCAGTTGATGAGAGATGATGGATGAGTGCTTCATGAAGTTTGTTCTCTTTGCAAGAGGAACAATATTGTATCTCCAACAACGGATGACTTATTTGTAGCTCAAGGGCGGTCAAGACGTAAAGTTCAACTAGTTTCAAATTTGGTATCATTTTGAGCTTGAAATATATAATCAAGTGATTGATAGACAACTTTAAGAGCTGAATAATCATTTGCTATGGCAACTACTGGGTTGCAAGGTCATGTTGTTTACAAGCTTGGTGTTATTGATGAGCATGTGATCGAAAGGTTTGAGAAGGAATCTGCTGAGATGAACAAAAGATTATTCAAGTACGCTTGCGTGCTTGACAAGCTCAAGCCCGAGTGTGAAAGAAGTATTAAAATCAACTTTGTCCTGTTGAAGTTCAAGACAGCCAACTTTTGTCCTGTGGAAAGTCAAGACAGCCAGGTACTACTGGCCGTCTGTTGGTGCTCCCTCGCCGTCGGAACTTCATCAAGAACATGATCATGGAGACATTTCAGGCTGATCGCGTAGTTCTTATCATTGATTCCATTACTGGTGGTTTTGAGGCTGGAATTTCCATGAATGGGCAGAACCCTGAGAATGATCTCCTTGCTTTCACACTTGAAATCAAATAGATGATCTGTTGCTTTAATAAGATGGATGCCATCGCTCTTAAATACTAAGGCAAGGTATGATAAAATTGTGAAGGGAGTTCCTTGTCGCCTTAAGGTTGGCTACAATCATGACAATAGTCACTTTGTCCTTAGTTCTAGTTTGAAGGGAGGGAACTGATTGATATACCAACCTCAACTGGTATGAGGACCCTACCCTCTTTGAGGTCCTCGATCAGATCAACTAGCGAAAACAGCCATCAGGCAGTTTCAGCATTGAGTTGTAGAGGTACAACTGGAAATGCATATTAGCTAACAACTTCCAGTCTGATGCTTCTTTCTCATCAGCCTAGAACTCTCCATCTCAATCACGAGAACACATCATTCCATGCATTTGAATTCGATCAGTGAAAATCTCATCTATTTTCGTACTATAGCCAACTTATATATCTTAAGCTGTGGTTATATCCCATTCAGTCAACAGCACAAACTAGTGCTTACTATTATGTTCCTAAGCTACCATTAGTGCAAACATTGGCCTTTTACTATACTGGGAAACCCATCTGTGGCAATGTTATAAGCATAGAAGAGCATCATTTATCCCATGCAAACCCCTTTTTAATAGAGAATAGCAATATTTAGTAGTCTCAGGGTGTAAGATGTTCTTCCTCATATATATATGCCTTCACTTTATACTTTATTTTGCCATGACCTCCAGTCCTCTGATCTTTTTATATGGAAATAGGTCCATGATATATATTTTTTTTCAAGTTGTCCGTAATATACATTTTCTTCTGTTTTTCATGCCAGGATTTAATTTTTGGATAATTTTTGCTAATTAGCATTGTAAAAATATCTAAAAGTATGTAGGTTTTGCTGTCTGAATCTCTCCTGCATATACATGTCTCTTGCAGCTCCTGGCTATTCAAATAATCCTTTCTAATTCAAAGTTGCTTTGATGAAGGATTAAGGGAAAGATTTGGAAGCTCAAAGCTTCTTGCGCTCATTCACTTTTCTGTAAACACCATCAGCGTCTCTTTTCCAGTATGAACAACCACCAAGTAGATCATAGATAATGCACCTTACCGTCATCTGTTACAGTATAAATTCATAAAGAACCTTGGCAATCAAACTCTTTCTACCATGTAGAGTTGTTACTAGATGTGAAGACTGACGCTGAGTGCTGGCTGAGGGGTACATAATGGAACGACCAACAAAACTTCCTCTGGGATGACTATACTCCACACCCTGTATTTCAGAATCATGGTATAAGACTTCTCTGATTTGTTGTTACCTACCTTGGACATGATAGATAAGGGACATTGGTCATTTATCATCTGTAATAGTTCTGAGTTTTTGGATTAGATCTAGTAGTGACGCTGACATTCAGGTGAAGCTAGTTATTTTGATGAGATCTTGGCACAGAGAGGAAGGATCTCATGACAAAAACGTGATAGAAACCTGTTTTTGATGGTTCAATGCGCGCGCACGTTCACTCTAGGATGACCTGTAATCACGTTCGTTAAAATTGATACAATATGGCAATCTCAGATCAACCTCTCCTCAAACAAGAACATAGCGGATGACTCATTGAAGCATTCAGTACCCTTTTCCTAATTCTATTTCTACAAATCTTATTGCTAGGCTTGTGTATATGTACAACGTTATGTTATTTATCTTATCCCAAAATCCATTATTATAACCGCGGATGCTGATATGAAGACACAAATCTAATTGCAGATTGTTGATGGGTGCCTTACTGTAGAGGGCATTGAAGAAAAGTTGAGAGGGCTTGTTTCGGAGTGTATAGACACATGCCAGAAGGGGAAGCCTGTAACCAATCTCTGGCCATCCAAATAGATAAATCTTTGCAAATATAGCTTGATATCAGCTTGTTTATGTGAGATACGAATCATAATCTCATATCTATGAAGATCAAAATCGTTACTGTTTTGTGGATTGCTACTGAAGAAAAAGAATCACAGGATGTAGTTCAGAAGATGATCAGGTTTAGTTATGGGGGAAGGCTTTTTTATCTTTGCCTTTTTCCTTTTCCCCATATCTTGATTTCTTTGAGTGCCTCATCTATATTGTAAGAGTTCCATTGCTGTGAGAAATTGCCCTTTGGTGTGCTAATCACATTTCTTAAATAATCTGAGGGTCCTTTGTGCTCGTTTGTCTACGTTTAATTAGTCTGATCATATAATATTATCTTTAAACTCAAGTTATTGTGTAAAACCATTGAGGAAACTTTACTGACAAGACTTTGGCTTTAACCTCATGTTCTTGAAGTTCCACTCTGTTCTTTACGAATTTAACTTTGGGGTTAGATGTGTTTGAAAGATACCTGACTGAACTTTCCATTTCAAATATTTTCTTGTTTTTCTTTTTGTTTGGGAATAAAGTATAAATGGATAAAAACTCTTTGACAGTGAATAATTATTGACAGACATTTTGTTGATTCTCGTCTTATTTTATGTTATATGAAGCACAATGAGTTTTGTAGTCTTCAAGTCTTCTTGTGCTTACAGTCTGATTGCTTGCAATAGTACGTCTCTTCATCTTAATCCACAGGTAAAGAAAAAGTGTCACTATACTTATTTGTACATAATTAATGATTTTTGCAAATCTTTTAAAATTAAAATTTCTGACCACCAACCCAAGGCGTCCACTGTCGCCTGACTGAGACTTGTCCCCTCTCAGGCTTTGCCTGTTGTGGCTTATGGGGGATCACAAATGTGTTCCCTCAAAGGTTCCACACGTCACATCCTTTAGAGCAAGATAGAGACTAATAACCTTTGATTTGTAGTTCAATGTATATAGCTAGTATATGATGTAACATCAAATTATTATTCTGCAATTTTAGGATGGGGTACATGATACCTGTTTTCCGTGTAATACAGGTAAAAACTCATACACATTTGCTTACTTTTTATTACACTGGGTTAATATCGATGTAACACATCCCTTGGAGAGAATGCCATGATAATAGTCCATCCTTGTTTGCTTATCATTGAGCTCAGTTATATCAATGCAATGTGTCGTCATGACGAATATTCTTTATGATTAATTTGATGTTGAACCCATTAGGTTTTATGCTGGATGTCAGTTACATAACACAATTCTTGCATTGGGATAGACTTTTTGATTGTTCGAACCTTTTGTGTGTGTATGAATGAGGTTAATGGTAAGTAGATTTCTTATAGTATTGTTGTTTTGAACTTACTACCCTCTGATTTTATTTTCGCAAATAATAGACCTCTGAGATTTTAATTAATTAATTATAATTAATATTGACAAGTAGACCCCAGATGGGTAAAAGCCGAAAAATTCACATTCAGATTTCAATATCCTTGCTCATCAAAAATATGATTTCTGCTGAAACTTGAGAACCATCTGCTACCTAGTGATTCTTTTAACCACTCCAGAGTACTGTTATAGTCACACAAATCCCTCTATTCTAGGCCATTAATGAGTCTTAGAATTTTAGTTGCTCAAGTTACTTCCTCTAATATTGACACCAAAGCTTGGAATTTACCTACCTCATGTATATTTAATAACTTGCCAAACAAGCTACATTTGTTCTAACTCACAGGCTAGTAAACTATTCTTCATATAAGGTGTTACAAAATTGGATATGCACCTCTTTTCTACAACTGTGGTGTCCATTGCAGGTAGATATAATGTATCTTGCAACAGCATTCAATGTTTCGAGACAGTGTACGTACACTAGCTGGAATAAAGATTGCAATTTGATTTGTTAAGTTATTACTTGCAAGCATTAGAAGCTCTCTCCATGTGTTGCATCAGCAAAATGGTTACATAAATCATTATTTCCATCCTATCAAACATTAACATTTTATTGTAACAATAATTCCCACAACCGACAGACGTATTTACTTGTACTCACAAGCAAGCTAAAAATCCAATTTATTGCCCAAGGTATCACACCT